TCACAGCGCCGACTCAAACCTTAGTTAATTTCTCACTCTCGTGACAAAATCGTGTTAAGTAACTTCTCACTCTCGTGACAAAGCTAATTAAATTGAGTTTAAAAACAAAGACCAAAACATATTTTTCCAACTAAATTACCAAGCCAACGTTGTTAGCGAGTCCTGTCGGAAACGACAGTCCTTACATACCGAACTCAAAACAATTTAGTCAGACATAATTGCAGGAAATATATTGTGTTTAATTTAGATGAACATGTGCAAGTGCATATACCAGTAAACACGACCAGTATAAAATTGTAATTGGAACGGAAAAACTTGTTTCGACTAAATAAGTGTAGCGACTGATACGTAAACTGGACTGGAAAATAAAAATGCATCAATATTAATAAATCGGAAATTACCAAATGATAAAAATTGGAACTGAATTGAATAATCAGTAATAAAATAGATAGATAAAATAAAACCTGAAATTAAAGCTGGAAATAAAACTGAATTTAAATTGGAAATGATGGCAAGATTGATGAATTGTTATTCCAAGTACACAAATAAAGCTCCTAATTCTAAGTTGCCGCAGTCCCTCGACGTGAGAAACTGCAACTTTTACAATAGTTAATTTTTCTGCCTAGAATAAAATTCTAAAAACTTCCATCCCCCCACAAAAACCCCTCCTTCCTTCCTTTATACCCCCTCTGCTAGTGACCTTGATTTTCATGATGTTCATGGAGAAAAATCAGGAAAAGTGGGCTCATGGAGAAAAATCAGGAAGACTGGGTTCGTGGAGAAAAACTAGAAAAGTTGGTGTGAATTACTGATGTGGCGAGGGCCTCACACTGTGGCGAGGGCCACCGTTTAAAAATAGAAAACGTGGCATACTAGCTGTGGCGAGGGCCACAACTTCAGGAATTCATTTTTCTACTCTTTTCTTCCATTCTTCTTGTTTCTTCGCCATATCTTGTCATTTTTCCGCATGTGAGCTTTGTGTTAGATTGTACCTGAAATATAATAGCAATACCGACATAACAAGACATAAATAAATGAAAACGGTACTAAAATGCATGCGAGTCAAGTCGAATATACGGTATAATTTAGCGTTATCGGTAACATCCTTATTCAACTATTCTTGTGGGTGACGCGTCTTTCAACCTATTACCGATTGAAAATGACGGCTACCATTTGACTTGTTTCCCCATATCTCATAAAATTTATATTCCCTTATCCACATGTGTGTTAGCACTTATGATCATACTCTAGAAAAAAATATTTGTTTTAGTTCATGGGAGCTAAAAACATGAAACACACTTTATATACATGGATAATCGAATTCCAGGCGTCTATGGCTGATTGTGACACTTTTCAAAATTTTGTGATTCTTTGTGTTTGAAAAAGATTTGTCTAGCTGGCATTAAGATGCTCTTGGTGTAATTAACCTTGGTTCGACTACATATACATTGACTAAAACTAATTTGGTTGTTGAACATTCTCGGGTGATAAATTAGATTATTTGTAAGCTCAAGCAATAAAATAATTGAATAAAGAAAACAAGAATGTAATGGCGCCACAATCCAATGACGAACAAGTATTTAAAAAACTATAGAGAAACAACGGCTCACAATTAATAATTTATCTCATCGATACTGCTATTATAAATAAAATCAATAATAAAAATTTGATTATGAATATTTATCCATTTTATTGAAGATTTAAAGCATATATTTGTAAATAAAAAATAATATATCACAACCATTTACATGTAACTTTATATATAAATAAGATAAAATCAAATATTTGCAATAATTTGACAATTCCAAGTAAATTTGTTTGCTCCAGGTGCAATTCAATTTAAGCTCCGCAAGGCCAATGTGAGAAGCAAAATTTGGAATCAAATTCATAAAAATAACGCCGTTGCCGGGGATCGAACCCGGGTCACCCGCGTGACAGGCGGGAATACTTACCACTATACTACAACGACTTGATGTTTGGTTGTTTGTAATAGTGGTAAGTGTTGGTTGTTTGTATTCGCTGACGTCCCAACAGTTAATTTCATCTCTCTTCAGTCGTCAATGAAATTTTGGCAACAAATTGAGAACTTGTTCTTGATCCTTCATAATTTTAACTCTAATTTCACCGACTGAAACAAAATTTTAGATTTAGAAAAATGCTTGGCGTTGGCGATGGAGGCGAAACCCCTTCAAGGTACATTCACAATCGCACTCTTTTATTCATTCACGCAACTTCACATCATACCATGGAATTGAATTAATGAAAATTAAGAGATTGTTTTTTAGATATGAATTGTTGAGCATGGTGAAGAAGCACTCAAATTTAATTGGGAGAACCGTTGTTGAAGATCAACAAGATGCTCCTGATGTTGAAATGGATATGAAGTTTTGGAATGATGTTTTTGATTTGTATTTTGTTCGCGGAAAAGAATCTAGGGGTCGCCAAGATGATGATCTCGTTTTCTTCGTTAGAAAATTGGTATAATTAATCTCCTCTTTTCTATTTATTTCCCACTATTTTCCCTGTAAGAAGCATAATTGTTGATATCACAACACAGGTTTCTAGAGGTTCTGCTTCCAATTACGATACAGAAAGTCTTGATCCTTATTTTGTACGCAGGTGGGCACCTAAGGTAAATTCATTCATTAATATATCATGCTGCTGCTCAAATTCAGTATCTTCAAATTGTATGCTGCTCAAATTCAGTATCTTCAAATTGTATGCTGCTCAAATTCAGTATCTTCAAATTGTATGCTGCTCAAATTTATTTAAACACTATCTTCAAATTGTGTGTGTCTGTCCTTCCTATACATTTGATACAATGATACTAGTATTTTTAGTTTTATAGGATTTCCTTGTGTGCATAAGCTTCAGTTTATAAATTTGTTTCAGTTAGACCACCTTGTGTGCTTAAGCTTCATATTAGCTGCTCACTGGATTGTGATAAGTATTGATAGCATGAAGGTGTCTATTTATAGGCTTTCCATTTCTGCCGACTCATTTTTTAAATTTTTCTCTACCAGTTGAGCAGCCTAATTGATGAAACTTCAATTGATGTGGATTGGAGGCGTTCCTTTTACTTGAATTTAATCGCTCATACATCTTTCAGTGTAACTGTCGCAATTTGCAGGTAATCAATCATATGCTCATTCCTTAATTTCACGTCCGCCAACCTATTTCACCTTGCCTAATCTCTTGTTAAAACTGGTTTCACAAGCAATCAGATCTCCTTTCATTTTATTTCATTCCTATTACTATTACGCCTACATTACTTTATTATTGCTGCACACTCTACCAATAATCAATCTTTGAGTCATTTGTTTTCTCAAAATGCCCCGGCGATGGGTTAGCTCTACGATTTTATCTCTGCATGGCTACTTCTGTTCCCCAAAATTTCTTATACAATGACTTCCAGTTTTCACTTTTCTTGCTATAATATTGGTTGGATACTTTTTCTCTATCGATCATAATTATTAGAGAAACTTTTTAAATTCTAATCCAAACATTCTGCAGTTTTGAATAAGGAAAATCTTATATGCTCTAACTAAAATGCCATCATCAATGGGTTCTTATGAGCAATATATAAACCTTTTAAGTTTTTGGGCTGTTGTTATCTCTCTGGCTAATTTGATTCAAATATATCTATTTCTCTAGTCAACAGGTTCTTCAAAACCATCAGGCTGGGAAGGATACATCTTTATCCCCTATATATAAGGTAAATGTAGTTAATTAATCTTTCTCTACCTCTTGAATTATCTTCACTTTCTTTAAATTTTCGAGTGCTACGATAGATACCGACCTAGGGACAAAAAAGGGCAGATTTGTAAACCTAAAATACCCTTTAGGGAGGTGATGGTGATTGGTGAAGCGTGTCCTTCTTTCTTCATGAGCAGATTATGGAAGATTTACTTAGCTTTGTAAGTCCTTATCTCATTACTATTTCTTCCATGCCAATGAAAAAGCATGCATGGAAATGTTATTGCTTATAACTAAACATATGAAGGTTAGAATTATAGTTGGTGATCTATGCCATTGAGCAGGTGCTGGAGGGAGGGTACAATCACAAATATAAGAGAGCTGCTATGTTGACACCAAAAATCAAAACTGTTGGTGCTTCGCAGTAATATTATACCTCACAAAATAAATGTAAGTTGATCCTAAGAGAGAATAAACTAATATATAAATGAAAACAGTACGTTATACCGCAAGTATAACAGATCCATCTTTAACCAATGGTTCACAAAATGAAATAGTGAGATGCATTCACATTGGTTCACTCTGTGTTCAAAATAAAGTGGTTGAAAGAATAACTATGGCAACCATTGCACTCGGGCTTAGCAGTTATCTGTGGCGGAGGAACATGGGGGCGGGAGGGTGCAGCTGCACCCCTCAAAAGTTGAAAACTCTTTGAACATGCTATATCTTTTTTAAGACACCTCTCATGATTTTTTATTCTATTATATTATAATACATGAGCTTGGTCTGTTTTATTTCTAAGGTTCTAACAAAAATTGATCTAAAAAGTTATAGTGAGTTATAGGCATGTATGTGTTTGACATGTTCATTTAGTATCATTGTTTGAACCAAAATATATACAATGTCTTAGAACTTGAAATATGTTTGATTAACTTAAAAATATATTTTGAAAATAAAAAACAGTAATTTGTAATTATATTTTGAAAATATGGTTACAATTAGAAAATCTAGAATTCTATACATTAATAGTAAACTAATACTACCATGAACTAGTAAATACTATTACGGGTCTTTATTATAAGAACTAAATATATTGATATGATGCAAATTGATTTTAAAAAATAAGTCGTTGATAAATACAAGACTCATCTTGTAATTAAATTTTTTTTTTGGGTTATAAAGAGGGCCTGAGCCCGAAGGAAACTATACAATTACAAACATAGAGAAAAAAACATCTGATAAATCTCCATCCACCAATTGAGTAATGCATGTGGGAAAATTTTCACCAAACACAATATCCTCCACTATATCAACTTTAATATTAGCAAGCACATCAGCACATCAGCACATTGATTAGTTTCCCTGAAAGTATGACTAATTGAGATCTCTTCATGAGTATCTATTAACTTATAAATACGAAGGAACATATTGTGGTTATCTACATCCAAAGTGCTTCTAGCTCTCAATGTTTCTGCAATAACACTAAAGACAATGTTAAGTTTCACCTTCAAGAATCCCATCCTACTCGTCATAGTTAATCCTTCTATAATCTCTCAAAGCTATGCCCGCTTAGCATTGTAATTATCAATATTTCTCGCAAAACCTCTCTTCGAATCCCCTGATGATCCCTTATAATTCCTCCACACCCAACTTTCTCACTCTCCTTGCTAGCTCCATCTGTATTCAACTTAACTCAATTATCCTTTGGATGCATCCATTTGAAAGAAACCTCTTCCCTCTCCCTCCCAATCACAATATGATGGATACTCAACGATAACCTCTTCCCTCTCCCTCCCAATCACAATATGATGGATACTCAACGATTTCTCATACTCCTTAATCTGATGATAAATGTGAGCACTTTAAAGAAACAGTCTTTGATAATTTTCATCACGCACCTCTCTGTTTCGCCACATTCAAAGACAATGACACCCTACTACCCAGTAGTTGCGTCACTCAAATTTAGGCTTATCCACTCATTCATATCCAGCATAAAGAAATCACGTCAAATCTTGACATAAGTTTTGTCATTCCACACTTGCATGGAATATAGATTTTAGGAGTCTGTAACTAAATCTTTTAGATAAAGAGAATATATATTTTTTCTACACATTTTCACCTGACACAATAATATCCATTATTAGGATACTCAAATTTAGTTACCCTTCATAATTTAGAGGTATATTAAAATTATTTTTTAAATGGTGATTTCGAAGAAGAAACGTGAAGAAATCTGAAAGGTTTGTCATTCATGGACTAAAAAAATTATAAGTTAGATAAGTTTTTGTCTAGTTTTAAACAAGTTCCAAAGCAATAATGTGAGTAGTTTGTTAATCTGATTATCTCGAATAAGTTTAACGTAAATGAAAGTAACAAATGTATTTACAATAAGGTTGAGAATATAATTTGTTCTTGATGTAGAGGAATCACTAATGGTAAGGACATTTGAGACGCTGTGTAGGCCTATATATAAGATAAATGTAATTAATTAATCTTTCTCTACCTCTTGAATTATCTTCACTTCCTTTAAGTTTTCGAATGCTATGATAGATACTGACCTAGGGAAAAAAAGGGCAGATTTGTAAACTTAAAAAACCCTTCAGGGAGGTGATGGTGATTGGTGAAGCGTGTCCTTCTTTCTTCATGAGCAGATTATGGAAGATTTACATAGCTTTGTATAAGTCCTTATCTCTCATTACTATTTCTTCCATGCCAATGAAAAAGTACGCAAAATGGAAATATTATTGCTTATAACTAAAAATATAAAGGTTAGAATTATAGTTGGTGATCTATGCCATTGAGCAGGTCTGGATAAACTGGAGGGAGGATACAATCACAAATATAAGAGAGCTGCTATGTTGACACCAAAAATCGACAATGTTGGTGTTACGCCGTAATATTATACCTCACAAAATAAATGTGAGTTGATCTTAAGAGAGAGAATAAACTAATATATAAATGAAAACAATATGTTATACCGCAAATATAATAGATCCACCAATTATTTAAAAAAAAAGGAGTTTTATGCTTTAAATATAAAAATTATTTTGGATTGGTTGAAAGAGATTGAGAGAATCTTCTGTGTGATGGACTCCACTCCAGTGCAGAAAGTTCGTTATGGTACTCATATGCTAGCAGTTGAGGCTGATGACTGGTGGGTAGAGACTTGTCAGAAATTGGAAGTTGCAGGTGAAAATGTCACTTGGGCTATGTTCCGTAGGGAGTTTATGAGAAAGTATTTTTCTGAAGATGTTCGTGGCAATAAGGAAATTGAGTTTCTTGAGCTGAAGCAAGGGAGTATGTCGGTTACTGAATATGCTGCAAAGTTTGCTGAATTGGCTAAGTTTTATCCGCACTACAACTAGGCAAATGCTGAGTTTTCAAAGTGTATCAAGTGTATCAAGTGTATCGTGTCTTTGCCGATTTGATTGATAGTTGCAGGATTTATGAAGAGGATAATAATGCTCACTATAAGATTATCAATGAGAAGAGGGGTGAGCACCAACATAACAGTGGTGAGCCTTACGATGCCTCAGTTGGTAGAGGTAAACAAAAAGTTGTTCAGGGTCAGAGAATTAGTGGGGGAGATGCTCTTGTTAGTGTGGTTTATTTTAAATATGGAAAAATTGGTCATAAGAGCAATGTGTGTACTGCTGAGGTGAAGAGGTGTTTCCGTTGTCGTAAGACGGTGAAACAACCGACTGAAAATCATCAAACAATAAAGTCGTCATCGAACGTCTTTTATCCCACATGAAGGGAAAGGTAAACATTGAGAAAACCTGAGAAGGAAGAAGTCACGGTCTTGCGACCGAGAGATCGGGTAAGAGAGTCTGTTACGCGAGGGGAAGGTGTTAGCACCCCACACGCCCGTAGTACTCTACGGTATCCACTCTTATTATCTATCTTATTAGTGTGTTTAAAATATGCTTACTGTTTACTACTACTAAAGGGAGAATGCATGCAAAAGAAAGGAGAAAAGAATGTAGAGAAAATAAAGTTGTACTCGCTTGGGCCCTGCCCTAATGCCTACGTATCCTTTTTGAGGAATCAGAGCTATCGTAGTTCGGCTCACATGTTTAGTCTGTTTTGTGTTTTTTATGAACAATGTTAATTCCGTCTTCTGCCACAACTCGACCTTTGGAGACTCACACGTTGGCATATAAGTAAATTAATCATGTCCTTATCTGAAAAGGGTTTCGAGTTACGCCCTCGAGGCAAGATGCCACATTTGATTGGTTTGTGTTTTGTTACCTTGGAAAAGGGTTTAAGTGCGATTAGCATGTTTTTGATTTGCTAAGAAAAAGAGTTTTAGTTTTAAATGCAAGGATGCAAAAAAGGAAGAAAAGAGTCTAAAGGGAGATTAGCCTATTTCTAACCTAATGTTATCATACAATGGTGATCCTAAAGTTTGGATTAACAAAAAGGAAATGTCTCTCTAATGTTAGCATGCATGGTTTGCAACCTAAGGTCTAACTTGCATCTGAAAGGAGCGAACATATCCTAAGGGAATATGGTATGTGTGATACGGTGGGAGAACTGACTTGATATTTTGCGTTTTGATCGCATTTGTGCAGATAGCAAGAGTCGCCACTGACTCTTCTTTTATCCAAAAGGAAAGGTAAAAAAGCACAGGAAAGACCTTTCGAGATTATTTCTCGGGTTCGGGGGGTAGATTATGAAAAGGGAAGGTATTAGCACCCTTTTTATCCATGGTTTTCCACGAGCTCTTAGTTACTCGCTTAGATCACTTGCTTTTATTTTGACAGTGTGCTTGTGGTGTGGGCTTTGAAAGTGTTTTGAAAAATCTCTTTGTAATGGTTCTCGTTTCTATAAGAACGCGTACAAAGTTTTGTTTCGAAAGATAGTTTAAAGATGTGTTTGTGGATTGTGTTTTGGAAAGTGGTTTTTGAAAAGATGTTTTGCAATGGTTCTCGTCTCTATAAGAACGTATATAAAAGGTCTTGTCTTTTGAAAATGTTTTGAGATGAAAGTGTTGGTGTAAAAATGTTTTTGTCATGAGCAAGCGAGCAACTAGGAGCGAATCTACCTACTCGAAAGGTCTCAAATGTTCTTTTCTTCCTACTTTTGATGTTGCTATCTTACCATTGATTTGGTAAGAAGCCCCGTCGTTGGATGTAAAGGGATAGGCGCGGGTCAATTTTACGGTAATCGAAAGCAACTTATGAGACGCTTTAGCAATTTTAGTAAGGGACTAGATCGTTTTATCGAAGTCAAAGTCGAGTGTCATCGAGGGACTATGATCTTTTTTTATCGAAGGGTCATTTCTAAAGCGTCCCATATTCGAGGGACATGACTGTGTTTTTGAGGCAACAAGCGAGGCTACCCTAGAGGTGCGCGTGTGAAAAGTGTTTTTGATTCAAGTTGATTTTATCTTTGAAATTAGGTTATCTAGCGATTGATTTTAAATCTTGCCATACACGCCTAATTACTATACAGTAATAAGTAAAATAGTAAAATACAGAAATTGAAATTCTACGCTATTACAGAGCTTCGGGAATAGGGGTACAAATTAATGAATGGGGTGATAATAAGAAATAACCATTTAAATCACACGATACAAGTCTAAACCGTTAAATAATTATTTAAGTTAAAACTCTTTTCATTTGATAAAATTAATTAATGATTTAATTAATAATGTCAAACAAAAATTATTTTAAAGATAATAATTAATTAAAACAAATATTAACCTATTTGCAATTCTAAATATATGCTGAAATATAAAACAAAAATCAAATAATAAAAAATAATAAAAACAAAAATATAAAGGTAAAGTTTAGAAATGGGCCTGCATTGGAGCAAATCTGGGAGTATATAAATCAAAAGCCCAATGCTTCTGGCTGATCAGGTGCAGCAGTCCCCTGGAGGTGCACCGTTGACGTGCACCTGTGGTGCGCTAAAGAGCATTGATAAATGATGATATGAAACAGACGGAGGGATGATGAGGGTGCACAAATAACTAACATGGGGATGCATGCGTATGATCCCTCATAATGATTAAGGGGTGGTGACAAGTGTCACCACCGGATTGGGCCAAGGGAGTAATTAACAGAAAAAACAAAATTAAGTAAATGAACAACAAACTTCATAACTCTCATTTCTTTCTCTCTCCTCAAACCCTCCTCACACGATGCTCTCTCTTCTCTCTCGTTGAAGACCTTCACCGGAGAAGGCAACTTGGTCGCGCTGGAAATCGCCTTACGGCGGCGGCGTGACTCCAAACGCTATTTTTCTTACATAAACCTGATCGTCTCCTCTCCCTAATTACTAATATGTAGTTAATTTTTGCAGATTCTCAATCTAAAGCTCTAGATCTAAAGAGGGGTGGACGGAAATCCTAAGTCAAAGATGTAGCAAAAAATGATGATTTATGATGAAGCATGCAAAATGGAAAGCAAAAACGTAAGAAAAAGAGAGAACGAAGGCCGTGTTCTCCAAGTTCGTGAGCTTCCAACCTTTCTGAAATATGTTCTTCTGGTATTTATCTGAGTTTTTTTTCTTTCTTCTTCTTAAT